CTACCCACACAAGGGGAAAGGGAAGAGAATTCCCTGGAGGCCCGCAAAAACGCAACAAGCGGCGCTCAGTGGGATCGGCAGATGGCGGGCGAAAATTGGGGGGCGGTGGGGACTTCCGACAACTGGGACAGGAGTGGTGGTCGGCGAGAGGGCGGTGAGGGGCTGTTGATGGGCGGTGAGGGCGGTGAGGGCGGTAGGAGGGCGGGTGAGGGCGGTTGCGTAGCGTGGGTGGTGGAGGTCGTGGCAGGGGGCTGACCGGATGATTAGCGGCGGCGGGCGGGGCGGGCTTGAGTGGTGTACGGCCGGGTGGTGGGCTGTAAGTATGCCACGCGAACTGGCGTGGAATACGGAGAGAGGTCAGGCTGAGTTTAGGCCGCCCCGCGCCTGCCGTCGCCCCCCGCCGCCGCGGCCGCCTCCCTCGAGCTCCTGGGCTCGCTGCTGCTGCTCACGCCGCTCAGGCCCCGGGACGAGCGACCGCCAGCCACCCTCACCGCGCCTGATCCCCGCTTTTCGCCAGGAGTGAGTGTTCATTATAACAGATAAAGTGCTTCCGTACTTCTAAGAAAAGTATTTCCCATTAATATATACTATATTTTACACATTTTAAATTTTTGTTATCATAAAACATACATACTTTAATAATCTACGTGTCATGTCTTTCATTCCTTTTAGAAAAATTAATTCCAAATTACGGGAAATTTTATGAAAAGGAAATTGCATTTTTTTCAATAACAGGCATTATGTATTGCTTAATTTTGTTGTCAATATCACGAAAAAGAGTCCACGTTAATTTCTCTTTTTTTGGAAATCGCTCGTAATAAACATAGGTTTTTATCTAGGTTTTTTAACTTCACAAGGGAGAAGTTGAGTAAAATAAAAGCAAACGACTAGAAAGGTTTCCGTTGATTTATGTAGCGATAAAAACTGGTATAATTTTGGAGTTTGTTTTCAGAAATGAATTTGGCCGAAAAGCAAGAATGGTGCTTATACTGCAATTATTTGCACAACTTAAAAGGCTCTATCCTTTTTTTAATGTATGGATCCAAAAATTTGTCAATTGTCTTCAATTTTTAATTAATTTTGCGTTAATTGGAAAACACGTCGCTATTGTTTCATTACTATTTTTCTCAACAAGTTGTAGAAACATATCACAGACTAAGGTCTCAACAGTTTATTTCCTTAAAGTAAGTAATATCATGTTATTTTAGTTTTTATTGTTAATATTGAAATATCGTGTCTCTTTGTGGACTAAACCATAATGTTAGCCCTAATTCAAATATCACTTTCTCTTAACAAATTATTCATGTGATTATTATCTCGTATTACAGCGGCAATTCTTATTTGGTAATAAATGTTGTGACCACACATGAAGTGTAAAAGCAACAAGTCGATACAAATATTAGATAAATAAGATAATGAAATAATAAATACACGAGTAATAATTTTCTGATTTATTCTCAACTTTAGAAATTTCCCAATTAATGTTTATGAAGCTAAATAAACAACCAGGTTATTTAGACAACATAAATGTGCATAAAATAGGGCAAAGTGTGGCTACTTCATTTCAAAGACATTACAATTATTTCAATTCTGTGAATTTACTATTATGCGATACGTATCTCGTGAAGTTAAATTAACATTATAAAACTACCAGGTAGAGAGATATCTCTAAATTATGTTGTCATGAATTCAATTTAGCGTCGTCTGTGTGAGGTAGGTACAGGCGGTTACTAAAACAAGCGTTTTGTGGAAAGCGAGTTCTGTGGGCGGAAACGTGCCATTAGCCTGTAATTATCAATTGCGGGGTGATTAATGGTTGCCACGCAGAGGGGGACGCATTCACAGGTAGGGGGTTCCGCTTTGACAACAGCGCTCATTACATTAGAGGGGAAAGAGAGCTTCCCCTGCTTCTCACAAGGGCAGAGATTAATTTTAATCCACTGCCTGTGTCTACTGAGCAGTGATTTTCGAAAAGTTAACTTTGTACAGTTGCATAGTTCCATGATTTATTTTGTGAACGTAATAAAATGAAAAATGTCTCTTCCCCATCGAATATAGATATTTTCAAGTCTGATATTCAGCAATATTTAAATATTAACTAACTGCGTTTGTTGTCATATTTTATGACAAAGCAATTAAAAAGAAGGATAAAATATATTAAAATATTATACGAAACATTCAAAGAATTTTATTCTATGAAGCATGAGAAATATAATGTCTCTGTGTAAAAATGCATCTTTTGTTCAGTGATTTCATTCAATACTACATTGTCATGACTGTCTCTTTTTCATTGAACTCTGAGAAGTTTAAAAATTTGGAAAATAATTCGAATAAAGAAATAATGCAAAACAGTACATGCTTTTATACAGGGAAAGTGCAGTGCAGGAAAAGTGGGTACAGTATCTAGGACAAGGAGAAGGAGGCAAACTGTGCTCATCAACTCTTACAACAAATTTACTATTTTATTCATTACTCAACTGATACCTTCTTATAAATTAGCTTTATTTTAACATTTGAGTTTAAATATAAATTCACTGACGCCATAAAATTATAATTCAATTACTTTGATTACTACAATGGCTTTGAAGTCTCAATATTCATCTTTAAGAAAATTGATTGGTCGCGTCCTTCCACCGCCCTCCTTCTGCGTTTCATATGCTGTACCAAACACAAATATTGTGCATTGCAATTTCGCGTAACCTACATGTCGCGTATCATCAATTCAGGATAAAATTGTCAGCTCATAAATTAAAACAAAATTTCAAATGCAGAATGGGTGTAAAATTTGTGTGTGTTTGTAGTTTTAAAAGTGTGAAATAATTTGAACCATTAATGATAAAGAAATGAGATACAATGGCAAAATATAACATTGTTGCTACAAAGGTTAATGGCTAATTCATATTTAATACCTAAGTGCATAACGCAGAGTGCTAACATAGAGCCTCTCCTGTTCCCAGGAGACGCGCGAAGTGTGGGAGAACCTGCGCGAAGCCCTGCGTCTGGTGCGGCGATCCCTGGCCTCGGCCAACACCACCGCCGCCTTCCCCGGCCCCGGCCCC